TCGGGACCCATGAAATAGGCCCTGAAACACAAAATGGGAATTTTCTCGAAAATGTTTCTAACGATTTTGATGAATTTCCAGTGACTTTCAGAGACAGAATCGTTCAATAAGAGCTGCACTGAGGAACATAACGGAACGCGCACTTGGTGGTCCCAAAAGCGAGGTGTCACTTTTCTCGAAACTGGATTTGTCGATCAGGCGGATTTCATTGCGTTCGGTATTCAGCAAACTGATAATGATTTACCATGCATTCATCCATTTCCTTTCCAAGGTTAATTTTTTAGCTTACTTGCTTTCATTCATTCATCAGTAATCTGTCAGACGACAGGTCCACAGTCTCTTCCAAGAGTTCCTCCACTTAATGCGATCTAGAGCTTTCTCCTTCAGATGAGACTATCCTCTTCTGTCCCCAAGGTCATCGAGCATCTTCTTACGTCTTCTTCCTCGTCTTCTGGTCACTTCTATACGCCCCTCCGGTTTGTTTTGTATCCAGAGCAAACATCTCGCATACATGGTATCTCTGTTTTTGGAAAGAAACTATCCAGGAAAAGTGTTAATGTGGTAGTTTTTCCATTTGCTTTCCACATCGCAGTACAGCAGCCGTTCAAACCACTCTGGTCACGCCTGTTGCTATACGAACTTGAACCATCTCGAGCATCATTTGCTCTGTGCTTCAAGTCGCTGCTGATGACGCTGCTTCCGGCATCAGTTTTTGGTTTTTGGTGTCTCTCTTCGTCTGATGCCTACCCTTTGACCTGTCCAGCAAGGGAGGCCCTGCCAGTAGCTACGCTACCGCTGGTATAGCTCTCAGGGTCCTTGGCATACTCAAATAATAAAATACTGAAAAATACTGAAATACTAAAATACTGAAAAAATAAATGTAGGCATGCGATCTGCATCCTGTCTGTATGTGCCCCCATCAGATTTAGAATGTCTGAATTAGTCTTTATGAAACTTCGTATGTATATCGTGGCACCTGCCCCAGATTCACGCTTCCGTGGCAATGTATACACGACACGAAGAATTGTTTGACGTGTCGTTTTCTGAGTGGCCCGTGTGGCATCGAAGAAGAGACTGTGGGTCTGTCTGTACATATCCCCTACGCAATAAAACTCCAGCTCAGCTTCTTTCTTTCAGGCTGCATACCTATTCGCTTTCTTGAGTCTCACCCTCTCTCAAACATACGTGTGTCAGAGGGACGAACGGGCACTACCTAGGGACCTTCAAAACCGGAGAAAAAAAAAGTTTATTGCGGACCCCTCAAACGTAGCGGCTCTCACCACCTCCCATCACTTTCCCTTCCTCTGTTTCTTCTGTGTCCACTGTATCTTTTGCAAGATAAACACGTTCCCGCTGCATAGAAGAATTGTTGGATGCGGTCGGTGTCATATCAAAGGAAAATAAACGATGAAATGTTCCCAGAACCTCTTGTTAGCCTACTTTCCTTATTTCCTTTAGATTGGTTACTTGGCGGCTCCATCAGTATCGAAACTACGCAGAGCCGGATGATAGGATGATTAATGACTGTCGAGAAGTTGATGCAACGAAAAATCATCAGCAGCAGCAACAACAACAAGAAGTACAGGTTGCCTTGTTTAGTCGTTTGTATGTATGTGCGTTTTCTTTCTTACTTTTCCTGTGCTTACTTTAAAATTGGCCTTTCAGCTGTTGAGTAATCAGGAAAATGAATAAATAATTGAATTGAATTATTCTCGGTATCTCGTCACATCTACCGTTTCCACTGCCAGCAATGGCACCCACTTCGTAGCCCTGTATGCACCTCGAGTACATGCGAGGCGCTTCGCATATGGACGCTGAATAGTAAGGGTGTGACAGTTGTATCCGGTAACTGTATTTGCAGCTGTCTGGTTAAGCACCAACTCGTATGTGGTTTCTGTAGCCAACTGCTGGGGAGGATAGAACGGTCAGTGGGTTGGTCCTGGCAAAATGCACACTAACCGATCTCTTGCACTAGATGTACGTATCTTAAATGACCTTTATCCATAAAATTAAAGGTACGGTGAGAGGTCGTGTCACGTGTTCGACGGATTTCGAGAGACTTTTCAATTGAGAGGGTAACAGAATGTGCAGGGAGGAATAGAAGAGTGAGCTTAATTTGTGTCCGTAACGGTCAAAGCCGCTAATGACAATATCAAGAGCCTCCGAGATCTAAAAAGAAAACGTGAAGATAAAATGACAGAAGCTACTTTTCTGATATGCTCTTCTATGCTCGTCTATGACAGTCAAGCAGACATTCAACCTGCCGTTTTATGAACGTTTGCGGAAGCTTCATTCGTCAACGAATAAGAATTTTTTCCCGGAAAATGAATTTTGCAATACGAAAAACCGCCTTACAATGCAGGATACTCCGCAGTGCGACTTCTGACCAGAAGCGAAAGACTTTTCAGGCGTGCTTGATAGGGCCTCTTGTCACTTTTCGTGTGCCCGAAACTAAATTCTCATTCTCAGGGTCTACCTTCAGGTCATTCAGAGCAATATGACGACAAGTCTGAAGGGCTTACTCCCAGTAACGTATCCAGACATAACACAGAGGATGACATGCGTGCGTAAAGCCAGAAGACCAATACTGTGATACTGATCACAGCCACCCGCGATTATTTCTTGCATAATTAGTCCGTCTAATTGTCACAGCTCATGCAACTTGCTCTTTGCTGTGCAGAATGTGTTTACCTACTCTGGACTCTCTGGTACATTGGCATTGTATTGGATTGGGGCAAGACATAGGCGTACGCCCATAGCATTCGCGGTTCTACCTCACGCATTCCTGACGAAGCTGACAGTAGTTGTGCTGCTAATTGAATTAGACTTAACGTGTTAAGCGGAACCCCGTTACAGGCAGGTGGCTTGCTTGTAAAGTCGTGGAACTAGATCTCATTCAGGTCTGAGGACATCCCAGTTGCATTTGTTTTTCCTTTTCTTGTTTTTCAGCATGTCAAAAGCTCGAACCTTGTCACAGTTCTCAATTATCGAGTTTGAATTTAGGTCGCTGCTCTTTCTCGGAAGAGCCTGCCTCACCTGCTTCATGAATTGTTAAGAACTTCATTCACGGGAGGGCTCACGCCATTGAGCAGAATCCTTCTTGAGAACGATGGAGTGAGAAGCTGATAGTCGCTCAGATAGGAAACATGTTTCCCGCTTTCAATGGAAGCGGACTGTTCACCGTTGCCTTCGCAGGATCCAGTCAGCGGTCCCTTATCCGAGTCAAACGAATCAGTCCTTACAGCCCAACGCCATATCTTAAAGCTTAATTTTAATATTATTATGTAGGTTACTGCTTTCTGGGATGTGACGCCGTATACTTTGATACATAGGTATCAGCGTTACAGGGTAAAATGCTGTCATGCCAGGTGTGTTCGTTTTTTTCATTTGGTAAATTCAAGGATTACATGCAATCTATAATTCTATCTACACCCTAGTCTCCAAATTGGTCTTTTTATTCTTGTTTTGTGAGCAACATCGTACTTTTACTCTCTTATATCTCCTTACCCCAAGGAGGGGGTAAGGAGGGGGGTGAGGGGGTTTGAGTATGCCAAGGACCCTGAGAGCTATACCAGCGGTAGCGTAGCTACTGGCAGGGCCTCCCTTGCTGGACAGGTCAAAGGGTAGGCATCAGACGAAGAGAGACACCAAAAACTGATGTCGGAAGCAGCGTCATCNTTACCCCTTCTGCTTTGCTTTGCCCCTCATTTTATCATACTAATTAATTTATTTTTTCCTCTCGCCTCTACTTTTGGGGCACGGGGCTGATCTTCAGTTTCATGATCACTTTACAGACAGTAGGACTCCTTGGACGGGTGATCAGCTTGTCGCAAGGCCTCTACCTAAACAGAGGACAACACAGACACAGACTAAACGGATACACACACCAAACATCCATACCTTGTATGGGATTCGAACCCACGATCCCAGCTTCGGAGGGAGCGAAAACAGTACATGCCTCTGACCGCTCGGCTACCGTGACCGGCATCATTCTAATTAGTCTGTATAAAATGAAGTGTACAAATTATGAAGTACCTCATCATGCATTTTTTTTTCACCGTCCTGTTATTCTTGCCCGTTAGCTTTACATATTCTCCTTAGCACGCTGTTGCCAAACGTCCTGAATCTATGTACATCCTTCTTTTAAGAGTAGTTATCCCTGATAAAGAAAGATAAAGGAGTTACCGTTACACAAACAGATAGCGGCCTCCGTAGTCTAGGGGTAACGTTCCCAAGGTACGCGACGGAGGTCGTGGAATTTTTAAGGGCGGAAAAATTCAGGGAACAAGCCCTCCGGGAGGGACTTTAAGCCGTGGGTCCCGTGTCGTAGATTTACGGCACGTAAAAGATCCTCATTTCTCTAGGAGACCTCTGAGAAAAATTAGGCGAAATATCCCGCCCAAGTAGTTTCCAATGCCTCCGGTAGATGGGGAAGTTATCGGGTACCACTGCCAGCCTTGCTGGCTGAAAGGGGCTGATAGCGAGCACCAGTACCGGCAGGGTATGGNGTCTGTCCAAATATGCTGTTACGTATCTTGTTGTATTCAGTGAAGGAACAGTCAACTTAGGCGTTGATGAATATTAACAAATTCCGCTAACTGCGATGGTTTTCAGCCCCAGAGTATGTCGTGTGATGGCTAAATTCGGGTAAGGAGCTTGCCGAAATGAGCCGCGAGCTGGACGGTCGGGGTCCTACTCTCGGCAGAGCCACGTCCAGACCGGCTGTGGGGCACACCCAATCTCCTACCTGAAGGATACGGGGCTATTTTCCAGGGGGTGAAGTGGCTGAGTCGTGAAGCTCACCACTCGGCTGTATCTAGTGCCGAGGTCAGGAATCCTGGAGCCATACCTCCACTCTCCGACATCCTTAATTGATTAAAGACATATTTTACCTTTACTTACCGAGTCAGACACAGAATAGAGAGGCTTTGGTAGGTAAAGATGTACGTGAACATCTTGAATCCATGAAGTGTCTGCAGTAATGTACGTTGTTTTTCCAGCCCGACTATTATCGGGACTCCCCGCATTTCCGCCGGGTGGGTGACGGACCGCAGTACCGACTGGAGATCCCGCGCGCAAAGCTCGACTTCACCGGCGCCTACTCTGTCATCGCCCGCAACTGCCATGGAGAGGCCAAAGCCGTGATATCCCTCCAGATCTACGCCAAGGGTAAGTGTTGCTGCTTGTTCGTTCAGTTTACGTACTCTACAGGATGTTTCACGGCTACATACCATAACTTTAGGAGGCCGTTCTGCATGAAGAATGTTATATTAACACGAGTTTGATTCCCAACGGTTGCTGAGCGGTGTTCCTGGAGAAACGTGAACACATCAAACACGTCTATTATAACAATAAGTAAAGTAAAGCTATCCCTGTACCAGGCCGTGAAGGCCCATAGGGTTGTGAGACGCTGAGGCTCCCACATTATCTAGACAATCGGCTCAAAGATGGCGGTAAGGTTGTCAGCCTTACGCGCCGGCCGCGCTTTACTCCCCAGGAAAATTATTTAATTAATTCCTGGTACTCATTTCTGTTAGATGCTGAGTCGACCATAGTGCGGCAGGAAGGATTAGATCAACTGAAAAAAAAATCCAATGACCTCATCGGGACTTCAACCCGCGACCTTCCGGCTTATAGCATAGTGCCTCAAGCAACAACGCTACCGCGTGCCCCCCGTATTGTAACAATAAGTGACATTTAATGGCTGTATATGATTTTGCATACCTTGTACCTTCACTGCAGTGACAAGTGTTCAAAATGGCCGCCTTCAGCGGCACGCGACGCAGTACCTGAATCAGAATATGCCTGGTCGGCTGAAGCGGGCATGGGGAGGGGTCCTCAGAGTTGGACACCACGATCATCGGACCTCAGCCTCCTTGACTTTCGCGTGTAGGGTGCAAATGAAAAATCTTGTTCATGAACGCAAGGTGGCCTTGCATGTGCAATTTTGTGCCATTTCTCGTAACAATAAACATGTTTGTCGTATTCGAAACATCTTAATTTTCCATATCCATAGCTCTGTAGCCACTGAGAATCGTAGACGTGTTGATATTATATTTTTGCTCATAATGCTACATTTGGAGCATTGCTTTGTATGGGCCTGAAACTTGGACACTTAGGGCAGTAGATCAGAAACACCTGGAAAGCTTCGAAATGTGGTGTTGGAGAAGGATGGAAAAGATCAGTTGGACCGGTTATGTGAGAAATGAAGAAGTGTTATTTAGAGTCAGTGAGCAGAGGAATATCCTACACGAAATAAGAAAACGGAAAGCTAATTGGATGGGTCATATCTTACGCGGTAACTGCCTTCTAAAAGAAGTTATTGAAGGAAAGATAGAGGGGCGGATAGAAGTGACCAGAAGACGAAGAAGAAGACGTAAGAAGATGCTGGATGACCTTGGGGACAGAAGAGGNCTCTTCTATCATCATCTTTTCGAGGTGTTTTGATATATATATATATATATTATATACATTCATATTTCAGAATAATTAAATATATATATATATATGTGAGTCTCATGGAGCGAAAATTAATGTTCTTCGCCCATGTTTTTCAAGTAAACTCTATTGAAATAATGACATTGCATATAAACTTTGAAATGTGAATGTATATAGTGCCTATGACGTATAAAGAATGCCACGTGTCCGGCGTTCCGTCACCAATACTAACGGGGTCTGGATTGCATGATTGGATTTAGTGACACATTGCGTTCACACAGTTCGCGACTACGTGCTGTCGCTGTTCCACACACTTCCAGTTCACTGTTGCACACGCACTACGATTCTCAGTCTTCATTAGTCGTATCCTGGCAACGGATTTATCAGTCTCAGTGTCACTTCATCTCACACATGACGTGTTCTTGGCACAGTCTAGTTCCTTTCTTACCATTTTCTGCAGCTGCCAAATCCGAAGACTCGACCCAGTTCTCTTCCGACTACTGTTTTGTACTCCTGCAGCTTCTGAACTCCCAATTCCAGTTCTCTAATCTAATCTCCCTAGCTACAAACAGACTCTCGTTATATAGCCTCGGGTCTTATCCTATAGAAAACACTGTCTTGTCGAGTACTGTTGTGTTACCTAGCAACGCGTTGTACCGTGGTCCACAGAGAACACAGTTGTCTAGCAGTAAGTCGATACGTCGCAATAATGAGAGGGCATTTGAAACTCCTAGCTGGCCCATATAAGTTAGTGCACTGCAAGAAACGTTTCAACTGTTTACTGGCGTGATAGTTTTATGCATTAACCATATGCGGCTGCCGAGGTAAGCAACAGTTTTGCTTTATGTACTAAACCGTGAACGGTTGCCAAGCGGCGAAACAGTGTTGGACAGTAATAATATACCACACATGGTCGCCCGCGGAGATACATCCCTTTGTTTTATAGTGGAATGCACGTTTTTAATATTCACTCCAATCACATCACTTTTTTTCCCATTGTTCCCCTATTACTGTATATACTGAATAAATATTTAGTTTCCTCTGAAGAGGACCTGTCTTCGTTTGTAATCTTCTGTAATCCGCTACAGCCCGCATCGTACAACTTGAAAACCTTTGACGCATACTCGCAGATTCCTTCCCCTACCTGGCACTATATTCTTTGTAATCAGTACCTGATCCGTGGTTACTGGGTGGCAAGTACATAGCATAAGCACTCGGCTGCGATTGGCCCCAAATTGGCTTTCGCACACCATGGCCAGTTCCTCTTCTGCATGAAGCCGATGTTGACCTCGTGTGCACCGTGCAGTCATTAATTCCCATCAGTTCACTTCTGACTGATACTTGGACCAGTGGGCAGTGGACCCTACAAATGTCTCGATACTGCCCTCAGAATATTCTCGGTGTGTGTGGCATTTAATGAGAGCTTCGTATCTTCTGATAGAAACAGATCCGAAATTCCGCAGGATGTTAGTTCCACCATTATACCTTATAATCGTTGTAATTTTTTTACCTTTGGCTCCTCGGAAGTCGTGATTTTGAGGTTCTCCGAAACGAATAGTCGCAAATAGCGTAAGGGGGGATTGTTTTTCTTCACTGCCTCTACAGCCCCCTTGGGCCCTATCCTCTGATTTTCAGTTTCATAGTCATTTTACAGAGGGTAGGACTCCTTGCACGAGTGATCAGCTCGTCGCGAGGCCTCTACCTAAACATAGGATCACACAAACACAGAATAAACGTATACACATAACAAATATCCATGCCATATGTGGGATTAGAATCCACAATCCCGGCTTCCGAGCGAGTGAAGAGCGTACATGCCGTAGACCGCTCGGCTACCGTGACCGGCGGTGTAATTTAATGCCATTACCCATTTCATGAACTAAACAAACAACTACAGATATCCGATATTTACGGATTTGAAAATTTAAATTGTTGTCTTCTGGGGTTTCCAATCGTGTTGACTCGTATGTACTCGTAGTTATCAACGTCTCGGAGCAGCCTCCGTCTTCAGTAAACCACTTATACAAATACGCGGTGCCATGGCGCACAATACCAGAACCTAAGAAGCATCATTTGCTTATTTATACTTCTAAATGAGCCAATGATTGTAAGTAAGTGTGAATTATATCGTGCCTCCAATTGCCTTTCCAAATGGAAGTGTTAAATAAGCAAGCCTACATTTGGAAAATGCGATATCAGTATAAAGTTATCATGACTATACTTAGAAAATCATTCTGTATGCTAATAGTACTTGGTTGTGACTAACACTCATCGCTGCCCATCGTTAAGTATGGGTCTGCCTGTATTTGATACAAGAGAGGTCGTTTCCAGAGAAGGGTTGCTAAGTAACAGTGCATGTTTGGCGTGCGGAGTGCCGTGTCTGTTTCATTCTGCAAGTATAAAGACCTTGGTAGCTAAAATAATCCGCCCATAATCTTTGATGATTAATAAAACATATATGGAGGCAGCTCCATATATTCATACTGATACTGTATTCACTCCCAATTTAGCGCGTTTATGAGTGTTTGTGTGATTGACGTATGCGATTAACTCACGTCATATAAATGACGTCTTACACAGATTATTTTACGTAATTATTCACTCACTTATTCAGTCATGAAGCTGAGCCCTTCTTGAGAAACCGCGAGTTGTACAGGTACTCAAGAAATTCCCAAAATTTTATGGAACCAGAAGGTTCATTACCGGGTTCACAAGAGCCCTCCACGGGTCCCTATCCTGAGCGAGATCAATCCAATGAATACCATCCCATCCTATCTCTCTAAGATCCACCCATATACGTCTTGGTCTTCCCAGTGGTCTCTTTCCTTCTGGCTTTATCACCAATATCCTATATGGATTCCTCTTCTCCTCCATTCTTGCTACATGCCCTGCTCATCTCATCCTCCTTGAAGTGATCATTCTAATTATACTTGGAGGAGAGCGCAAGTTATGAAGCTGCTCATTATGCGGTTTTTACATAATTATTACTACACTTAATTAATTGGGCGAAATCGCTGGCCCTAGTGTTTAATCAGGCATACATGGTTTAGATCGAGAAAATACCGGGATCTTGGATTCAAGTCCCTCTTACGGCATGGTTGCATTTGCCCGTTTTCTGTCGTTGAAAATAAATTAGGCAACATTTTAACAATACTTCATAAAAACTATATCGTATACCTTCTTTTACGGGGCTGTTTATTGAGTCAAGTGCTTTACGTCAACATAGTTACTTTTCTTCATGGTAGTTCATCAGAATGTACGGTTGAAAACTTAGGCCTAAACTATCATCATTACTATTTTCATGATACATCAAAGGATTAGGACCCATAAATCTTCTCCGAACTTCAGTGTAGTTTCTTCCTTGAAGCAAAAGATCTCGAAATAAATTTGAGTACGTTGTATAATGTTTGTATCGCCACAATGGAATTCTAATGAAATTGTAAATCCGGGATATAACGCCACGTAGTCCGTTGAAACTCACGGCGTTGTGTCCAAGAAGATGCCATTCTTCATAACCACCGCTGTCGTAATTAAAATCCCGTATAAATTATGGAGTTTTTTGTTATTAAAATTTCCACACTCCACTTTTAATCACTGTCTGTTACAAACTCTTGACAGCAGTTGCCTATTGCCGCTGTAGCACTGCCTCTGGAGGTTTATTGTTTATGAAAGAATTTCCTTTTGTCTGTTCAGACATATCTGTGGCGACCGAGTCATAGCTGTGGTGCAGGATACATCACCACCGCAGTTTAGAGCACTTAAATCTTAGTTTAAGGTCACTTTCTTCTGCATAGCTTCTCTTGAAATACATTCCTCAGCTGATCCGAGGACTGCCATCTGCTCTGCCTACAAACGTCTTTCGTCATTCAAATTCAGAATTCGCATTTCACATCGACACATGGAGGCAAATGTTGCTGTTATTTTATAAAAGTCTCAGTTGAACATCCTTCGACTTGTTTCTTCCGATATTTCTTCTATTTGCCAACTTTAGCGGATAGAGGGTGTCGCGTGATCAGAGCAACGAATCCCCACGGCCATTAATTTCGGTTTTCTAGACCGGAGCCGCTATTTCCTTGAAATATTTCCTCAGTTATCCTCACGAGGCTGAGAGGATCCCGTTCCAGACCCACTGCTCCTCAGAAAATCTGGTAGCGCCGGGAATCGAACCCGGACCTCTGGATCTGTAGCCAGAAACTCTGACTGATATATTTATTTATTTGATTAATATTATTTATATCATTTTCCAAATTCATACTTCCATAACTAGAAACTATATTTCGTAGGTATTTAAATATCATAACCTATTCGGTTAATTTACTCTTAATCACAATTTCAGCCGTACTAATTGCTTGTTGTATATCGAACTGTTGCAGTAACTTGATGTCGGCTCTCTGTTGACCTTGATGACTTGTTCTTGGTATTAAATCCTGCAACTTCTTTCTTCATGTTGTACGAAGCCAGTCCGTGTATGGAAGTTGTGTTTCTTCCGGTATAATGATCTCACGCTTATGACGCAACATTTTCCTCTGTGTCAGCCTCTTGACTCCTTATAGGAAAACTATGCAGGCTGAGTGGTTGGATGTTTTGTATTTTAGGCGGAACGAAGCGCACTAAGGAACTAGCCTTGTGACGAGTGAGGACAGACGGAAAATAACATGCACACAGTGTGATCTAAAATTACACCCCACGATTGATCAGTTCCATGCATTGTGAGCTTTTTATTGCTACGGAGGTTACATACATCTGTAGAATAGAAACTGAGTATGTCTAATAGGAACAGCGGCGAAGGAAAATATTTCAGTAAGGTTGCGAAATAGCACGAGTTCCGAAAGTTTACGCTGTTCGGCGACTGGTCTGCACTGCAAGAATTGTTCACATTCAGCCAAGTTCGGCGTTGTTTCCAGCGTTGTGAACGCAGTTGAAGCTTGATGTTAGCCTGATGTGTTAATGCGCTGCGTAAGGTAAGGTGAAGGTGTCCCTGCGCTTAACAAATTAGGCACTACGCTATGAAGGCGTATGGAGGAGTGGTTGTATAGATCCATATTTTATTGACCTCGGCACTGACTGGAGGTGAGTGGTCAGCTTCACGCCCCTGCCGCTTTCTCCCCAGGGAAAGAACCCCCGGTACCCATTGGATAGAAGTCTTGGTGAGCCTCAGAGCTGGTCTGGACGATTTGGAGAAGAGAAAATTCTTGACCCTACCTGACTAGAACTCCTACCCCTAGGTCGTAGAGCCCGTAGCCAGTCGCTGTACCGACTGCGTTTGGGCAAAAATTATTATGAAACAATACCTGCGCTGAGCAGAAACTTGTCTGGAACGGAAACGTTTTCTGATGCCTCTGGATCCTGTAACCATAAGGTTCCGCTGTAATTGGTATAAGAGTTGCGAAGAGAGAGAGAATCATAGAGGAATGGACACAGTGCCGCTTCTCGGATAACGAATAAAACGCGTGAATAGTTTTAACACGCAGTTCTGCCTGCCTGGCTTGCAGTGAGAAGAGTTTATCTTACTCCGTACAAAGTCACATAAATACAAATTATGTTTCTGGACATCTGGATCCATAAATGGATGGATACGTGGAGAGAAGGGATACGCTGTTATTCACTGCGGCTTATCTCTATAAATGGGGACGAATATAGCGCACTACAAGTCGGCAGAGAGAAGACGTTCTCATATTTGGCTCCTCACATGACGTCCTTCACATTTCACACAGTACGTGTTCTGTCTGAAGTTTTGCTTCGAAATTATTCAAGTGGTGTGTAGCGACAGGCAGAGTTGCTAGCAAGTTGCCAACTTGCTTCCTGCTTTGCCACGCATTGCTAGTTCGTTGTGTGTGACCTATGAATCTGACTTTTCCCAGACTGCAAGAGCATGTCGAGCTTGCTGTTCTCGGTAAGACTGAAACTTCTCATTTACTTTACATTTAATTTGTTATATTAGTTGTGACTTTAAAGTAATCAGCGAAGTCATGCTTTGGTAACTCACTTGAACTTTCTTATACGTATACTGAAATATGCCTCTCTTTGAACGTTCCTAAAAAGTAAATGAGATTCAAGATAAAATTATGATAAGAATAAATTCTTATCGGTTGGAAAACGCCCTCATTTTACTTAGCCCCTTTTCCAGCTGCTTTGCGTGGATATGACACCGTCTCTTACCGCCAGGAAGGAGGGACATGTCCATGCATTGTGTCGTTCTTTGTACTTAAGTGAAACACAAGTCAGGTATGTCAGTCCAGTAGTAAAATTAACATTTTATACTTGCATTAATGAACTATTATTATTATTATTGTTGTTGTTGCCCGATAGGCTTCAGCTGCTAATGTTGTCTGCAAGGGCATTAAGGTATTTGGAACCAAAACTGCTTTTCTTAATCATATTTTACAGTTGTTCTTTATTCATAGCAAAAAAAAATATTAATTGTACCCAGTATGATGTACGTGTATATATAGGACATATGCAGAAGGTGAGCAAAATAATGGAAATGCTAAGTAATCGAGGAACATAATTTGTTTGCGTTGGAGACGTTGAGAGAACTTCAGTTGGCAAAACTAAATGTTCTTCTTTAGTTTGTTTACACTCTGTAGTGCTCGTGTTAGTGCATTCGTGAATGTGTCGAGTGACAGTCCATGTGAAATAATCGGAAAATGGAGGACTCGTCGGATTCTGAAAGAGGACAGGCGGTTGATGCACGTTTGGCTGGACCAGTTGTCACAATAACCGTCCCATTATCGGGTGTGTCGAGAGTGACAGTTTCTAAGCTTATGTCGGCAGACACGAATCTTGCGAAGACAACATCAGGGAAGAGGAACAGTGGGCGACAGTCAGCAGGGACAAAAAGAGACCCTCATACATTAAGATGAATTATTTTAAAAAATCACTGAACCACTGCAGCAGAAGTGAATATTCATCTTGAAGGCCCTGTTCCCACAGAAACTGTCCATCACACGGAAAGGCTGCAGTTGCTAAACCTCTGAGTACTGGAAGCAATATAAAGCTCGGATGCGTAAACATTTGTGTCACGACCATAACATCTGGATATGAGACAGAGGGACATGCGCGCGTGATATGGTCAGAGCAGTCGTCCTTCACGCTGTTCCCTACATCAGCAAGAGTTTGCGTTTGGAACACCCGAGGAAGCCTACAGTCCGGAGTGCCTGGTTCCAGCAGTGAAACACGGGGGAGCTTGTGTGATGGTTTGGGCAGCGAAATCGAGGCACAATGTCACGTTAGTCCCATTATTACCCACAAGGCAGTGCGTGGACAGGTTGGTTAACCAGGTGCATCTATCCCATGATGCAGACGCCATTTCTGAACAACGATGAAGTTTCCCAAGATGACAATGCACCCATTCGCACATTCACTCATGGTTTGAAGATCATGAAGGTGAACTTCAACATCTTCCCTGGCCTGGGGAGCTGGGATAGCGCAGTCGGTATAGCGACTGGCTACGGGCTGAACGACCGAGAAGGCCGAGTTCGAGTCCCGGTATTGGCAAGATTTTTCTCTTTTCAACCTCGTCTAGACCGGCTCTAGGGTCCACCCAGCCTCCTATCCAATGGGTACCGGGTCCTCTTTCCCCAGGGGTAAAGCAGCCGGGGCGTGTAGCTAACCACTCACCTCTATCTAGTGTCGAGGGCAAGCAAATGTTGATATATATACACCCACTCCTCCGTTCTTCTTCGTGGCGTCGTGCTTAATTAGTTAAGCACAGGGACAACTTTACTTCTACTTTTTACGTTACAGTAGTATTTATGCGTTTTCATTGGATTCAGTTTGGTCTATAACTGTTAGGACCTCTCGCTGCATAACCTACTCCTTCAGTGAACTGAATATTCTTGTTTTCAGGTCAAGGCAAAGGAGACGACATGGACCACAGTTCCGTGAAGCACGGGTAAGGAAATTTGGGCTCACATAAATCTTTGCATGAATGTTGTCTCCTAATCTGCTTGCTCTGTAAAACATAGTTCTCTTTGAAAAGTACAGCTGCATCCCAGGATATAGCCTTCAAATCAGTGATACTGTTCACTGGACCGTTTTCGATAATGATCCCGGTGAGCTCAGTCAGTAGAGACCGATTCCTGTGTGGCGCAGGGACTCTTCTGGTTGACACCGCGTTTAGTCTCACTATGTGTCACCATCAGTCTCTTGTTTTACTGGTGATGTTAGGGTACTGTTTCTCCTGTGATAAAATAACTATGACGTGAAGCTGGCCACTCCCTTCATGTTATGCCGAGGTTAAGAATGCGTGGAACTATACCTCCACCCCCCACTCTTTAGAGGATGCCGTTTAACTATAATCGTCAATTAATTTTATTTCCCCCCTTTGCTTCTGGAATAATTCTTGGAGCCCATTACAGATTCTGAGAAACTGATTCGAAATCTGGCTCGTAGAATTTCTGATGTTTGGGAATTCAGTCACTGTCATTTGCTATGACACGGAAAAGTAATTACAGATTAGTCTTTACTTTCATTTATTTGTACTTTATATTGCTCCTTCAATTTTATCATGTTTACCGATTTTGCATACAAATTAACGACTACGAAAGCAGCAAAACGGATTACTGTTGTAGGATTTGAGGTTTTCACGGCGGTGACCGTGAAGAATGCCGTCTTCTGGGATGTGGCGCCGTGCAGATCTTGTGTGAACCGCGTTTCGGAGGATCGTCTGCAGTCTTCAGCCACCTGCTCACGCTGGTTCCTAGCTCGCAGATGTTTCAACCCTGAAGATGGAGGCGATACGTTCCTCCGAAGCGTCGGTTCACAGAAGCTCTACATGGATTACTGTTACTTACGCACCGGCGTAACATACCAAAACACTGAACTCACAATAAAGAACGAGATAACACAAATAGTGGTCATTCAGCTAAAGGGTGAAGACCTTACCGCTTTCAAGTGATATTACTCGTAGCAAATGCACTCAGCACACACATGTAAGGTTGGTAGCGTTCAGTGCACTGACAGTGGCGCCACACTGTGCGCAGTCGCCAGGAAAACAAAACAGAAATTGTACTATAATGAAAATTGTCTAACCTAAAGAACTTTGTCGATTCACAACATACTCGTAATTCTAATGAACAAAAAAGAATGAAGGGTGTTATATGGAAAGCTGAAATAAAATAATATAATCTGCCTCTTATTTCATCCGGAACGCAAAGTTTTATTGAAGTTTTATCTGTTTGTTTCTAACACAATCAGTTTTGGTTTGTCCATAATGCGCTCTACATGAACAGCGATATGCTGTCCTATTAATGCACAGTAGATCGAAAACGGTAGGGGTACTAGGATCATTGACTTCCCACCTCTTCAAATTAATTTAATCCTATCTACTCTGTGAGGATCCGGCATAGCGCAGTCGGTATAGCGACTGGCTACGGGCTAGAGTTCGAGTCCCGGTAGGGTCAAGAATTTTCACTTCTCCAATCGCTCAGATTGGCTCTTCGGTCCACCCACCCTCCTGTACAGTGGGTACTGGGAGCTCTTTCCCGTGGTTAAAGCGACCGGGACGTGAAGCTGACCACTTACAACCAGCTAGTGCCGAGGTCAAGAAGATGTGGATCTGTACATCCACTCCCCAATACTTCTTCATGGCGTAGTGCTTAATTAGTTAAAGCACAAGGAAAACTTTACCTTTTACCTATTTACCCTGTTATTAGTTTATGGATGTTGCTGAGTTTTGGCTTTCTATGAACTTGGTCAGTTTCACTCCCACAAATTTACCACCAGCGAATTAAAGTAAGTATAAAGAGTTCATCTTGATGACACTAGCGGCCCAACAAGGCAAGAGAATGTGCAGCTGAACAAGAGAGACTGTGGCTCTCCAGAGGTCGAATGGCACAACATTAAAAATTCTACGTCATACCACATTAATAAATCTTATGTTAATTAAGAGATAAAACAGATCTGTACTTTGCTCTCACTGCCTCTTCTTGCGACAGCGACACTGGAACCCATTGATATCATTTCTCCGCTCAGACATCATGACGCAGGTGCCGACATTTTGTTGCAGTAAGGTGCAGACTTTGCCGGTCATCAAGCGGGAGCTGAAGGACCTTCGCTGCTGCGACGGAGATGCAGTGGCGCTTGAATGTTGCGTGCAGGCCACCCCGACGCCCGACATCCGGTGGGAGAAGGGTGGCAGAGTACGTAGAGCTTTTAATTACGAAAATTAATGTCTTCTTATATGCCAGTCTCCCGACCAGCCGCTACGTGATTGGCTGATCGAAATAAAATGCCCTGATATTCATGATATGTACTACGCATTAATAATTCGTATTGGCAATCATTTATCTTGTGCCTTTCGTGGTCTCCGTAGCAGTGAGTTATGCCAGCGTATTGTTATCTGGTTACCTACTGTTGGGTTCAAGCAAGAAGGGGCACCACTGTTCCTTGGCCTGCACCCCGGGGTTAACGTATGATGAGTCAGCCTCAGTCGGTCTTCTTCGACAGTCACCAGATCTTTTCTGTTCTAGCGCTCTCGCAGCTTAATAAAAGTAGATTCCAAAGGGTCCTGATGATGATGTATAACATTCTGAATTGCTGGGTTTTTTTAACTTTAGCCATCGTCACATATTCTAAAAATCTAGAGAGCACAATGTTTTGGAGACTGGATCTCCTTCCGTCCTCAGGTGAGAGAAGAGACACCTACTCTGTTGGGTCCTTTAGAATGAGCTAACCTGAATCACTGGACAACCTAAGTCAGTATAAATACAGCTACATAGGTCGGATAAAAAGCAGTGGCAACACCTCTATAGTTCTGAAATGACTTTATTACCTGAGGTAAACACACTTACATTCCTTCAATATAATCGCTCCCCATTTGTACCACCTTCTGCCAAATTTGAGGAAGGCGTCGTATACTATCAGTGCGTCCACCTCTGTTGATGTCCAGCAGTGACCGCCCTGCAGCACGAATAATCTCTCTTGTGTTGTAACATGTCCCTCACAGTGGTTCTTTCATTTTGACAAAGAGATCATAATTGCGCGGACTCATATCGGGTGAGTATGGCGGATGTTGCAGTATCTCCCATCGCCAGCGGCGAAGCAGATCCTTTACAGCGTCAGCAGTATAAGCCCTTGCATTGTCATGAAGGATGATGGGGTTCGTTGCCAACAAATGTCGTCGCTTTCTCCTGAGTGCTGGACAGAGATGATTAAACAAGAAACTGCAGTAGTAGGCAGCGCTTACTGTCTGTCGTTGAGGTACAGTGTGGTACAGTATCGCTCCATCAGTGTCATATGCCACAATGAATATCACCTTCACGTTACTTTGTGTAGGGCGCACTTTCTTTGGACGAGGAGAGCCAGGATGCTTCCATTCATCTGATTGTCGCTTTAAGTGAGGTTCGTATTAGCGAGCCCAAGTTTCGTCCAGAGTGACGATCCTTCCAAGGAAGTCGTCACCTTCCCTCTGGTACCGGTTCAACAAGTCCTGTGCAATTGCATAACGTTGCCGTTGTTGCACCTCGGACATTGTATGGGGTACCCAACGCGCTGCAATTTTGCGGTATCCAAGAATATCGTGCAGAATGTGGAGCACGGTTTTGTGACATATGCCTACCTCAGCAGCTTACTCCCACGCAGCCCATCGACGATCGACATCCAGCGAAGAAGCAAGAAGCTGAATTGTGTGGTTGTCAACATAGGGTCGTCCTGAATGGCATCCCTCTCTTCACGGAACAATTTTACCCACCGTGCCACTCTGCGATATGGCAAAGCAGCATCATCACATGCTTCTCGCAATCCCCGATAACAGTTTTGTGCCCTACAACCTTCTGCAACTTCAATTTTTATCCAGGAGCGTTGTTCTTGTTTCATAAACATGTTGTTAGGGTGCTTGAACTGGGCTCCTGCTCTTCAAGACGATGCACAATGCAACTCAATGAAACACAACTAGAGCCACTCACTGCACTACTTCAACTGAACTTCTGCTGTCAGCTACAGACGGCGCTAGTGCCACCTGACGCACATCTTTCATGTTACAGCAGTGTTGCCACCACATTTTATCCAACCCTTGTATATAAATGCTTGACACCCTGCTTTGTCAGTGGGAGATAACGGGAAAAAATGTACAATTTTTCTTGTTATCTCCAATTGACAGAGCCTGATTTTAGGTATTTATATAGCTGTATTTATACTGATATAGGTTGTCCAGCGTGATTGAGGTTTCCTCTTTCTAGGGGACGCAACAGAGTAGGAAACATATCCAGTTTCCAAAATATTGTCTTTTCTAGTTTTTTAGAATACGAGACGATGGGTAAAGTCCAAAAAGACCAGCAATGCCTTGCTTAATAAAAGTCTTTATATGAAAAATTTCTCAGGTGGATGTTTACTGTTAGTGAAGTTTCAGTTATTTTCGGAAGACTCAAGGCATCAGAATTTTCACAGAAAACCCAGAGACTTAGTTTCGAGATATTTAATTATTTGAAGCAGGTGGCGGAGAATGCAGGGTGTTGTTAAGCTGCAAGAAATCGCTGCTGATGCTTGTAGTGTCAATCCTAGGACAAGCAAGTTCATGCTCAAGATGTGGATATATCACCGCTACGTGCTTTTACTGACCAGCCATCTTGTTCGAATCCTGCAGTAGTTAGTTCATACCCACGGATGGAAAGAAGCCAACGGAGAAGTCTCGAGCTGTCGTCATGTGTGACTGTTGTTTTGTTATCAGCTGTTGCCTTTGGGCGGGGACTTCAGTGCCGAGTTAGACGGAGATACGGCCCGCCTGCACATCCAGCAGGTGTATCCTGAGGATGAAGGCGAGTACACCTGCGTCGCGTACAATGAGCTGGGACGCGCCCTCACCTCTGCCTGTCTAGTCGTTGATGGTAAGAAATTAGACCATTTAAAGATATGTCACACGTTTTACAGATAAGCCTCCACGACCTGTGTCTGTCACTTGTCTCCGTTAATATTAATTTCATTTAAAAATCCAATATGGGGCTTGAACCCTGCATCTTCTTAATACGAATCGCAAATAATAGGTGCAGTGTTGCACTGGTTCCAGTATCCACTGGGCTACTTTTGTGGGAACGCAATGCTATGCAACTTCATTTTTAAGTATGTGTTGCCTTCTGAGAGCTATTTTGTTTCATTTGCAGTACCTGAAGAGAAGGAGACGCTCCTCAACAGACAGTTGTCTCGACCTGTGGGGCTCTTATCAGCGGGCTCCACCCCAAGGTCCACCCCTAGGACAACTCCTACCCGCAGCAAATCACCGTCCATACCTCGTAAGCCTCTTTAATCACACCCGGTAATGTCTTTATAACATAATTTTGGAGAAGCATGGTGAAAATTTGGGGACTGGATTCAAGTTACTCACCTTTAGGTCCATTGGAGGGCTTTTGGGAAGTCGGAGGTGAACAGTTAGGATCCATAAAAACAGGGAATTTCTTGACATGTAAAATATCTATCAGTTTTGAAGGAAGCCATGTGGCTTCGGATTAATTAGTTAAATGGGCTGTAAATCCTGTAGCATGTACCTAATTAATGGTGGGCTTGATAAACTCCGTAGTGAAGGTGACCAGTGGGCCGCGCCATAGCTCAAGCGGTTAGTCTCTGGCTTCCCACCGCGGCGGCCCGGGTTCGATCCCGGGTCTCGTCAAGTGGGATTTGTGGTGGGCAAAGTGGAGCTGGGGCAGGTTTTCCCCAAGTACTTCGGTTTCCCCTGCCAATCTTTATTCCACCAATTGCTCCACAATCACCCTCACCTATCATCTGGGGCTGGTACAATAGGCCAGAAGTGGCCGCAGTACCAGGGACTTAGCATTAAGTCCACCCCACTAGCATTAAGAAGAAAAAGGTGACCACTCACCTCAACCAAGTACCGAAATTAAGAACACCTGGAGCTTTACTTCCACGCTCTTTATGTGCTGTCGTGGTGAGGTGTGAAATGACCTCGACAACTTTACCTACATACGATATGAGGTTCTCACAGAAGTGGTTAAGAAGGATCCTTTCTTCTGGGAGAGTTCTGCTTGCTACCTGCTTTAAGCTGGTTCCTTGCATGGTTCAATCTTCGACATTTAAGATGGAGGCAAGATGTTCCTTCGAAACATCGATTTACTTTAAACGGACTACACGGCGATATATCCAATATATACGTATATGCTCGTGTGTACATGAAGATGCACCAGTAATGCTTAAGGGCCTTGTTGCAGGACAACGTGACAGAGAAGGAACTCCCTCCGGGTACATCCACGAAGAGAGCAGACCGCGTCGGCTGAAGGTCACAGCCCCCAAATTCTACGCGGTTCCTCACAACCGGATAGCAGAAGAGGGCGAGACGGTGCGCTTCCAGTGTGCCATTGCGGGCCACCCCACGCCTTGGGTTACGTGGGATAAGGATGGCCTCCTGGTCACTCCCAGTGCTCGCCTCACCCTCTCAGAGCGCGATGACCTGAGGATCCTCGAGATATCAGAGGTGACTGTCGAAGATGCGGGCTTCTATCGCATCACCCTTGAGAACGAAGTGGGCCGCGTGGAGGCCAGCGCACGGCTGGAAGTCATCGGTGAGTTCGTACAATTCGTGATATGCTAAGTTAGTTGAATGACAGTCAGATAATGCAGTGCTGCTCAAGTGCCAACATATGTTTTACAGTTTCTTTGCAAAATGTTTTTGCAGTAGAGACAAGATATTTAAAAAAACATGCAAAAAAACCCTTAGATGCGGTGCTGTGTACCCATAAATGAAATCCTCCAAAATGCGAGTCGCGCCTTCTGTGGGCCCTGTTAAATCGCTGGTCGTACGTGTTCTTCTTTTTTTGTACACAAACGTTTCGATTCCAGGACGAAAGTGTAAAACGCGCACCTCGCTCTCACCATGCAAACTGATTTCCTCTTGTATTGCTTCTCCTTTCTGATGGTCTTAGAGCCATGCCTTCACTCCCCCATACGTCTTCGTGGTATAATGGTTAATTAATTACGAACGGGGACAACTTTACCTTTTACCTTTATTTATTTAACAGCACTTTCTGAATACCTTAGGAGGCAGAATAGCTCTGTCGGTATAGCGACGGGCTACGGACTGGACGACCGCGGCTCGATTCCCGGCAGTCGAAAGAGATTTTTCTCCTCTTTGCAGTGCCCAGATCTGCTCTGGGGCCCACCTAGTCCCCGTAACAAATAGGTACCAGGCTCTTTCCCTACGGGTAAAGTGGCCGGGGCGTGAAGCTGACTGCTTACCTGCATCTAGTGCCGAGATCAAGAATGATGGAACTATACCTCCATTGCACCAAGTATGTCTTCATGGTGTAACTTTCCCTTTATTTTTCCTCAACATCCTGCCATCGAGCACTAAGGGAGAGCCACTTGTGAATGAGGAAATGGCAAACTGTGAACGGATCTGTCGTGACCTGTATGAAGATACCCCATCCCGTCCTTCGAAGAAATGACAGAAATCACCGAGACTGTTAGTTTAGTTTAGATTGAACAGGAAACAGGAGAGCTACCCACTGACACGGAACAGCTGAGTAGGACATTACATCAGATCGGTGAAAGGAAGGATGTGCAGATATTGTCTTCTACTTGCCAGAAATGCAAACAGTCCTATCTGCTATGTAATGGCAGTGACGCGGACAATTCATTGTGACGTGTTTCAGTGTTTCCTGTGCCGCTACCTCTCTCTGTGCATGCCAGACATGAATGTGGCACATCCATTGCGTCCCTGGTTCCACTGGAGACCGCGTCATTTGAATACATTCATTGTGTCACTGCAGGAAACTGCGTTTCAGGGAAAACGTTTTGATGTGAGCGGCAGGTGGCTGTTCTAAGAGAGAATTTAGCTTCTACACGGCACAGCTTACATACTGGAAATGGCACTAATTGGACAACCGATGTTCGATTCCCATTTGGAATCTTTTCGTCAGTTCTTCCGTGTTGGTTCTGAGGCCACCTGCACAGTTAGTGTAGCGGCCGAAGGGTGTAGCTAACTGTTCACCTGTGCCAAGTGTCGATGTGTAGGTTGAACTGATATATTATATCCACTCCCTCATACATCTCCAAGGCGTGGATCGTAGTCACAGAGGAAACTTCACCTTCTGTCTTCTTTTCGCGATGAAAACTTTCATATAGTTTTGCCATGTCTGTCCATCTGTCACTTTGTACTCATGGGACAGACACCTCGAAAGACGCAGACCGGATTTTTATTAACTTTGCTATTAGTAAGTTCTCTTAACAGCCGGTCACGGTAGCCGAGCGGTTTAAGGCAGGCATGCACTGTCTTCGCTCGCTCGGAAGCCGGGATCGGGGGTTCGAATCCCACTCAGGGCATGGATGTTTAGTTTGTGTGTGTGCGTTTTTCTGTGTTTATGTACAAGTAGAGGCCTTGCGGCGAGCTGATCACCCACCCAAGGAGTCCTACCGTATGTGTAAGATCTAGAAAAACCGAAGTGAACGGAGTTCATGGAGGTAGGCCTAGGCCCACTGGGGCTGTAGTGCCAAGGAAAAAAAAGTTTTATTAACTTCGTCGACATCTTGTAACTTTGTTACAATGTGACAACAGTAACTGACTGAGAAGCACTGTATTCTGGGAAATAACGCCCTTTAGTCCGTTGAAAGTGAAGGGACTACAGGGCGTCATATCCCTTCATGACCGCCGCTGTGAGGACCTGAGATCCTACAGTAACTGACTGTTTACATGAATGTTGCCGTACGTCTGACTCCGGCATAACTCGCGACCAACTGTTTTACAGAAGGTTCTGCATTTTAGATACACCTAAGCCGATGGGCAGCATCCAACAGAATATCTGTTTTAGGAACAGTGACAACATCTTGGGAAGAGTATGAACATTTCGTGGAAACAACAAGTGGGCGCGGCGTCGTGTCGAAACGTTTCAGTGGGTGGGGCATGGTAGTGATTGTGGTAATGGCGATGATAAACATTAAAGTAGTACTGCCGTAATTGTGACTCCTGGGGAAGACTAAAATAGGCCTACTCAGTGTATATGCCTATTACATTACCACTGTGTGCATCAAAGATCGCAGGATTTAGCCTAGGAATCTCCTGCAAGAAACCGACTCTTAAAGTACGCAGTTCACAAAATTTACCTTTAGGCTCACGGTTCGTTTTGAGAGAACAGGTAACATACAGAGTGTCCCAGGAGTTTGGTGCCATACTTCAGGAGCGTACTGAGGGTTCCCTATAGAACAACTTTGAAACAGGAACACATGTCCGCAAATGTAAAATAGCAGCGCTATGGCGGCATTTAATATCATTTTATTTAAACTTGTCACCTCAATGTCGAAGAGCATGCGCAGACATATTACCCCTTCCAAACTCTTAAGACTCACCTGCTAGAGTAGATGTTGGAATTGGCGCCCTCCATTTTCAATGCATGCGTTACATCGACGAAAGCGACTTAGGCGCACCCTTTCAAATATTCCAAGTTTCTCACGGATCACATCACATGCAACAAGTATTCTGGCCAACAGCTCGAATTCATTATCCACAGGCATGTCGTGGATCAGACTTTTCACATGGCCCCAGACGAAATAGTCAAGAGGTGTGAAGTCTGGAGATCGGGGTGGTCAAGGCACTGGGCCTCCTCTTCCTATCCAACGACCATGAAAAGCAGCATCCAGGTAGTCTCGAGATACAGTGCTGAAGTGTGCCGGCACTCCATCGTGCTGTATCCACAATTGCCTCCGCACAATCAGTGGCACGTCTTCTAGCAAAGTTGGAAGGATACGTTCCAGGAACACCTTCAAAAAGGGCCCATTGAGTCGCGATGGTAGGAGGAAAGGCCCAGTTAAGTGATCGCCAATGATGCCCGCCCAAACATTGACAGAAAATTGCGCCTGGTGGTAACCAACTACAGTAACGTTGAGGGTTTCGTCAGCCCAAACGTGGCTGTTTCGACAGTTGAACCAGCCATCCCTTGTAAACTTCCCTTCGTCTGTGAATAACACGTGATTCAGGAAGTTGGTTTGATGTAAACACTGGTGCAGTATCCACTGACAAAAGTGAACTCATGGTGCGAAGTAGGTGGACCTACGTCGTGTACTCGCGTTGGTTAATACGGATAAAGTTGTTGGTGATGCAGGATCCTCCAAACACTTGATTTTGATGTCCCCACAATCTTGGCAATGGCACGAGTGCTGCTGTGCTGCTGGATGGCTGTTCCTCTATGCAATGCAGTACGGCCCCTTCTGCATCAACGGTTCGAGCGTATCTTGAGCATCCCGCATGTTCTTGTGGACTCAGAGATCAAATTTCACCTAGTCGCTGGTGAATGCTCACAAACATTTTGCGAGAGGGATGTCTTCTGTTGGAAAATCTTTCCCTGTACAGCCTCTCCTCTTTTCGTGCATTTCCTTCAACCAAACCATAGAGATAATGCGTGTCTCTGAGCTCTGCGAACGTGTAGTCTTCCGCGATTGCAGAAGTGAGTGAATGTAAAGAAAGAACAGTCTAGCAGGCACACGTTCCTTTCATGTACCAAAACACCACTAGTTAGCTCGGGAAAACCATCAGCCGGAGTGAGCACAGTTTGGAGGGGGTAACATGCCTCTGCATGCAGTTCAACATTGAGGCGACAAGTTTAAACAAAATGGTATTAAATGCCTCTCTAGCTCTGATACTTTACATTTGCCGACATGGGTTCCTATTCCAAAGTTATTCTACAGGGAACCCTCAGTACGTTCCTGATGTATGGCACCAAACTCCTGGGACACCTGTATAACGAATGAGAACGGTACGTGAAAAGACTTATTGTTATTGATGCACAAAACACGTTCTGTAGTATTCATTATAACCTTCATGTCCACAAGAGTGGAATACCCTACCGGTATGAGTCATACCCTACAACATTCTAGACTGTGAACAGGTCCCAGCTGAACCTCACTTTCACCTGTCCTGGTGTACGCCTGAAGTAACTGTTTGTCATGTGTCACATGATTGCATATTCACTTACCGCAAATCGATTCTGAAATAGACTAATTATATTCATTCTGTCCTCAAATGATGTGAAAGTGAAACCGTGAAGGGAAGCGACAAATGAATTAACTTAATTTCTAAGCTAATTATAGAATTGGGTCAGCTGATGAACTAATTGGAATAAGAGAGAAAGGGCCATATGGAAATGCAAATAAAATGCTACGAACTTCAATGCCTTCTTGTTGTCTTTACTATTTAGCCAATTAGAGCATGTTCTAGGAAAACGCTCTGTAGCCGTAAATTGTGTTCCCCGTTACGTGTTTGAGAAGATGCCTCACTGACTGTAAGGACTGCTTAACATTCATGCGTGTTAGCGCTCGCAGTTCGTTGGTTTGGTAACCCGACATGGCGTAATTTCAGAGCTCTCCTCTCACCATTACATTCTTTTATATATACAAGAGTTTTCTTTTTTAATTAGCTTAGTGGGGGATGGATTCCAACTGGGCGCACTCGGCACGGCGACCACTGATGTGGAACCCACTGCGCGCAGATTTTTCGGTACAGCAGGTGTTTTGTCACAGTGGCGTGTACGGAACCGTGACTTATCCCCATCAAAAGCCTAATTTCTTCCACGGTGATCCGTCGGTTTGCCCGGATATGACCATCCAACGCAGCAATAACATCAGGAGTGATGACACGATGAGCCTGTCCTGGGCGAGCATCATCTTGCAGTGACACACATCCCTCTCGGAATCTCTTATGCCACGCCAGCACACGCAAACGTGACATGCTGTGTTCGCCGTAAACAATAGACATGCGACGATGAATTTCTCGTCCTCCTACTCCTTCAGCAGTCAAAAAGGGCACTACACTTCGCTGCTGTTCTTTACCCGCCTCCATTACTGATGTTGGATAACCACACGTAACGCTAACCTTACTTCCAGCACAATAAACAAACGACTATTGTGCAAGGTCACGTTGTCACTGTGCTTTCCCGAGTCTCCACCAGATGTTCGTACCGTAAAGAAATTCCAGTGTTACCAACTTGCGCGCCGTGTGAGTTATGCGTGGTGATCCGTTTTCATTTGACTGCCCCTTATATATAGAAGTATTATTTTATTGCTAGTGGGGTGGGACCAAGTCCCTTGTACTACGGCCACTTCTGGCCTATTGTACCAGCACCAGATGACAGGTAAAGGTGATTGTGCTGCAAGTGGTGGAATTAATATTGGCAGGAGAAACCGAAGTACTCGGAGAAAACCTGCACCAGCGCCACTTTGTCCACCACAAATCCCACTTGACCAGACCCGGGATCGAACCCGGGCCGCCGCAGTGGGAAGCCAGCGACTAACCGCTTGAGCTATGGCGCGGCCAATATATAGAAGTACCCGTGTCAATGTGAAACCCGTCAGAAACAGGCGAGTTATTTGAGATCCCTTGAAATTCTGGGGAAGAGAGCTCTTCTGCAGACCTGTATCAAACTTGAGCGATCGTCCCGTTGCCTCCCCATTAATGGTACATAACGGCCTCCATGAGTCCCATAGCAGAAGTGCATAACAGCTTTATCTATGCAGGACACAACAGTGGGAGGTCGCATGTTGTGCGGGCCTGCAGCGCGTCACCAAGAGCGTCCCCAACTTTCGGGCGTCGTCTCATAGGTTCAGCGGCTCGCGTGGGAGGAAGACTCACCCTGGCTTGCGACATCAGGGGCTCTCCGACGCCGTCCTCCAAGTGGTACAGGTAAGGTCATATTCCACTTATAAGGCATAGTTATCTTTCGAATTCGGACAGAGGTGATTCTGGAATTTGCTCTTATAAACACCGAGTATTCCATGGTCTTCTTTTCTTGGAAAGCTTGTCAGACGTGAATAGGAACGCGTTCCTTGCACGATGCACATGTACGTATTCAATGCATGCATGGGAGATGTTGTCTGCCTGTCCGCATGTTTCAACCCAAGTACAGCCGGACGGTTTATTTAATGACGCTGTAATTAGCACAGATTATAAGGCGTCGACTGGTATGACAACCAGTGAAAAATCTTACTTTATCGTTAAAAAACTGTATTTTGCCAGCAAAATGTATTTATCTGTCTTCCATACATGGTTCTTGCAATGAACAGCTATTATTTCCATAAACACCATTACTTACTCAGTCCGTTTCTCTTATATCCTGCGGTGTCGAGGTTCTTTTTCCATTTTGATCGTTCTACAGACGGCAGGACTCCTTGGACGAGTGATCGGCTCGTCGCAAGGCCTCTACCTAAACACAGGGCAACACAAACACAGAATAAACCCATACACATACTGAACATCCATATGCCTTGTGTGGGATTGGAACCCGAGCGCACGAAGAGAGCACATGCCGTGACCGGCAGCTCAAGTTACGTGTATTGAGCTTCTTATTGTACAGCCTTTATCCTCGTGTTGCTTCCTCTCCCTTAAGTCAGCAGTTTCCTCACAAACACACTTAATCTCTAAGTAGATACTACAGGGTTCTGAAGGTGCTGTATAACACACAGAGAACTTATAACTTCTTAGTTATTTAGAACCCGGACAATGGACAAAGTCCGAACCCCCAGTATCTCTGTGCGACACTTCATCTCTTCCCTCCCGGTTATAATGCAAGCAGCTAAGTATCTAAATCAGTTCCATTTCAGACCAAATTAAAGTAGGTAACTTGAATCTTAAGCTTAAGTGACGTTTCCTTCCCACCAGATGGAGCTTAAGTGCACAAGTGACAATTCCTTCTCGCGCTTACGTAATAGTTGTAAGGCCTGCATGAAATGCCAGAACCCCATTAGCAGCGTTCGTTACGGGGAGGCAAGGTGCGTCGGTGCGTCGGCGCGTCCTACACGTCGGACGAACGTCGATAATCTTAAGAAATCTGTAGATGTTTTGAACGACGTGACCGGTATCGAAATATTTCTAGCACTCTTCAATAAAAGTAAGCCCTAGTAAATGTAATAATAATAATAATAATAACAACAACAGTAATGACTTCTTAAACTTGTTATATGCTAAAGCGGTTTAAAGATTACTTCATTAGATGTATTTCATGTATTAAAGGTGTAGTACTAATTTTGAAATGGTTTCGCCTTTTTCTTTATTAGAAATACTCCTTGCCACTTTTTTACTTATAACCATTGCGTATAGAAAGATGTCAGATTTGAGGTGCGGAAATGATTGCCTCCCCACTCGTCCTTCAGGTAAGGGCAGTATGAAGGTGAAAACGTTAGAATGGTTGGAAGTAGTTGTCTGAGGCAAGTGGCCACGAGATTTTGATATTCTTAATTGATTTGGAATTATATAATTTGTAAAAAATAATTTAATGATTTGACACGTGTTTCTTCTAAATAAAGTGTCACATCTCGGTTTGTACATCACATGAAACCCATTATGCCTCCATTACAAAGCCCAACCGATTAACGCTGTTAAGGGAATTGTGAGAACTGTACGGGCAGAATGCAGTTTCAGTGTGTGGCAGCAGGTTGCACTACTGTGCTTTACTGTTCTAGGAACGGAGACTTGGTGGTGCGTTCGTCCAGAGTGACTCCCACATGGGATGGGCGTACTGCGCGCCTGGAAGTTGAACCTCTGGAACTGGAGGACGCAGGCATGTACACGTGTGTGGCGGAAAACGAGGTGGGCAGAACGAGATGCTCTGCCAGACTAGTTGTTCTAGATGAGGACGACCCCAGTCAGGAAGACAAGCAGCCGCCAGTTTTCTTGCAGAATCTGCTTCCGGAAACAGTGGCAATGGACGGCGATATGTTGGAGCTCCAGGTGCGGCTGCAAGGTGAGTGTTGATGGCATCCGTTTCGCTGCTGTTGGTCCCTTAAGATTAGTTAGTGAGTTCGAAACAGAGATCTATCTAAAATTCAGAATTCTTAAAGGGAGCATAAAACTGTGCATTCGTTTACTTTTAGTTTCCTCCTCTGTTAAACTGCGCTGTTGAAACAGCCTATTTCCATTTGAAACAGAGTTGGAGCTGACCTCATAAAGTCTAATTTCATACTATAGACTTCCTGTCCTACAGCTTCATATTGTTAATATATGTTTAGGTAATGTAAACTTACATTTGAACGGTGAAATTCATTTCAGCTTATGAATTGGTTGTCTTTATTTTTAGCTATATTCTTGTTTCGTTCAATTTATTTATCTTTTGTTTATTTGATTGTTCCTGTCGTTTGTTTCGTTTTGTTTTAGTTCTTACAAATGAAAGTGGAGAGCTTCTTCAGTCACATCTTCACTTTTGTCTCTAAAGACCCAAACAGACAGAAATTGACAGTTTCGTGCCCTTGCCAAATTCACTTACTAAGTTTTTTTCATCCAAAGTTTATGATTATGTTTATCATCTATCTCAAACAGACTTCGCCCACTCGAACACTGGGATCGTAGGTTCGAATCCCACTTGAGGCGTGGATGTCTACTTTTATTCTGTGTTTGTGTTGTTCTGTGTGTAGGTAGAAGCCTTGAGACGGGCTGATCCACCGTCAAAGTAGTCCTGCCAACTGTGTAAAGGATCAAGAATGTGAAAAAGCGGCCAAGGCCCAACAAAAGGCTGTAGAGCTATAATAATAATAATAATAATACAATTTGAAAGGACTAATTCGTATCTTAGCCGGTCACGGTAGCCGAGCGGTCTAAGGCATGTACTGTCTTCGTTCGCTCGGAAGCCTGGATCGTGGGTTCGAATCCCACTCAGGGCATGGATGTTTGTGGCGTTTTTCTGTGTTTGTCTACAGGTAGAGGCCTTGCGACGAGCTGATCACTCGCCCAAGGAGTCCTACCGTATGTGTAAGATCTAGAAAAACCGAAGTGAACGGAGTTCATGGAGGTAGGCCTAGGCCCACTGGGGCTGTAGTGCCAAGGGGGGGGGGGGAATTCGTATCTTGCTATAGAAAACGATCTATTTAAGTACAAGAACGTAATTTTAGACATACATGACCTTTTAAAGTATCGCTATTTTTTTCTACACAAAGGAGTATGCCTGAAAGTCATTACTGCTCTAATTAGTTCTCAATTCTGAAGATTACAATATCAAATTGTGTGATTCCGTATAGTCTGTTAGATAGTTTCTTACCTTTCAAGGAAACCTGTCACCTCAGTCTTCAAGATAATGATTTGCCATATTTGAAGTTATACAGTAGTTAGCTGATTGTGTGGAATGTTATCGTGTTCCCCATTGCTGATTAGATAGATGCATACAATTATCAGTTCAGAGATATCAGACCCGTCACACATTGCCGTGTTTCTGCACGTAAACTTACTAGTTTAGTTGTTCGCAGTTGTAGATAGTGACAGTGCAGAATTCCGCTTACAGAACATCGGCTCATGGAGGTACATTCCGTGGAAGCATAAAGTTATTTCTATAGTGAGATTGGTATTCTTGGTTGTGACTGTCTTCCGAGAAGTGACATTGTGCAGTCTGGTATAAGTTTGCCACCGTTTAGGGTGGGCGTATTGCTTCTGCGTAATTACTTGACTTACTTGCTCTTTAATCGTGAAGAAAGAGGCAGTACGTTCTTCCGAAACGTCGATCAGTTTGGATCAGGCTACATTGCTAGTAGACTTGAAAAGGATTCCATCGTCTGGTGTATATAAGACAAAAAAACTACGTTTCGGAGACTGGATCTGTCTCCGTCCTCCGCCCAACTGAGTAGGTTTATCCTGCTCCATCCACCTGAGGACGGACATAGTTCCAGTCTCCGAAACGTAATTTTTTTTTGTCTTATACACGTATATACCAGACGATGGATAGAGTCCAAAATAAGCCTAACAGTTCTGTACAGGCTACATTGTGTCACATTCCAGAAACTTCATGAATTTTAGGCCAACTTGTCAAGGTAAGCTGAAAGTAAAGTTGACCTGCGCTTGACCTCGCCACTAGATGGAGGTGAGTGCCAGCTTCACTCCCCGGACGCTCTGTCCCTAAGGGATGATCCCCCGCTAACCATTGGACATTAGCCTGAGCGAGCTCCGGAGCAAGTGTGGACGTTGTGGAGTAGAAAACCATCTCTTGCTCCTTCTGGTAATCGAATCCGGCCATCCAGGCCGTAGCCCGTCACTATATCGGCTTAGCTATCACGGCTCATAGCTTACGCACAGTAAAATATTGTTACAGTGATGACATGAAGGGGAATTTGAAATTAATTTGAAATGTCAGAAAACCTAAAGAAAGAGACCTTTTTAGACAAATAAGCTGAGAAGGATGGATGATATTAAAATTATAGTCAGTTTATTTTATGTTTGTAATGTGTCGTCAATTTTTTTAATTATTGTTAAGCAATAGAACAATGCACTGACCCTACTTGCCGGTTTACACAGAAATGTTTGTGCACTCGACTGACGACCATCAAGGCACCAATGCTGTCTGCCCCAATCGCAGACTCAGACGGTCCTTTTCCTTTTGACACTGCACACTTCTTTGTTGATTCTGTTTCTTTCTCTGTTTCAGCCGGTTTAGAAAATCTCGGTAGCTGTAGTGGTAGTCATGTTACAGCCCAATGTGACAAAATAGAAAAGGAAAAAGTTACTTGTGTGCCCCTGAAAGTAAAAACCCATAAGACAACATAATTTGCAACTTTTTGAGCCTAGCAGTTTCTATATATTGCAACTACTTTAACGTAACAAAGCTGTGCAGTCTACCCTAAAAGCTTCTTCGTGCATTTCATATGGTTCTCAGGATAAGCAGCAGTGAGCGGTTGATGTTTGTAGCGGAGACGTAATGTTTCCTATGAGGTACGAACGGAATTTCTCTATATTATTTTGAAGAAATTCAGTCTTTAAAGGGTTAAAGCTGGATGCTCCGTAGAAGGAGGCCGTGACAGTTTTGGCCCCAGCCTTGCAAAATTTAGACCTACCAAGACACGGTTTGGGACTAATGCCGATTTGCATACTTTTTCCACGTCATTTCATCAGTTTCAAAATTCCACTTATGATCAGAAGACTAATATGCTATTCAGAGCAAGTTCCAAGTTCGTAACTCAGATTCGCTTCCATCTGATACCAAAGCGACATATTCACAGGGACGCCGCCTCTGGACGTTATATGGGTGAAGGACGGCATGGAGATTCCAGACTGTGAGGATTTCCGATACGTGGACCATGGCGACGGCCGCTTCGGTCTGCGCCTGGCTGATGTCTTCCCGCAAGACTCCGGGGAGTATCGCTGTGAGGCGTACAGTGAGCATGGAGACGCAGTCACTAGAGGCATCGTCACTGTCAGAGGTATGCTTTGGTTCTGCACGTCAATCTCCATGCAGTTATGACCACAGTCTGGGAAAATGTAAAGCTGGGTACATAACATGAGCGCGCATTCTACTGTAACGTGACAGGGTAATGCAGCAAGGTTTCGACTTGCATGTTACGGCGTTCAGATGTGTACGACAGGGCGAGCATTCGGACGGACAGTTTGCATTTTCGTGACCCACCAAATGTTCGCAGCTATTGGTCTGAGCGTGTCACCTTTATAGGCAGCTAGAGTAGCTTTAATATTCATACACCATATTTTGTCAAAGAATAAGAAACTGAAGAGAAAGCTGTTGCTGGGAAACGGAGTTGTAAGGAGAACTGTGTTTAGTGGTGCGAGTTTGTTAGCGGACTTGAAGCTCTAAGAAATTAGTGTACAGTACAAACATTTTACATACATGGCTCCAGCATATTTGGAATTTAAGATTAATTCAATCTGTCCGAAGATTTGCGCGCTGATCACATTGGCCGCGCGATATAAGGCATGAACTGTCTTCGCTCACGCGAAATCTTGGATCGTGGTTTCGAATCCCACTCAAGGCATGGATGTGTGTGTGTGCATTTTTTCTGTCTTAGTATTGTCCTGTGTAGGTAGCGGCCTTGCTGCGGGCTGATCACTTGTCCAGAAGATTACGAAACTGAAGAAGAGGCCAGGGCCCAACAAAGGGCTGTAGAACCATTGATGAATGAATGGAAATTAGCGAGCATACCGCATACCGAGCAGCTGTTCCATTTGAACAGAGACTGGCAGTTACACTGCGGGTTTTGGCCACGGGCGATTCCTTCACCAGCCTGCGATACGTTTTCGAAATTTCGGAACAAGCAACGGCCGGATTATTCCAGACGCCCGCAGCCATCGCTACTCTTCCAAAACGTCGTATTTGGTGTGTTTATTGTAATACTTGGGATGCGTTATATCCCAGAGCACAGCCTTAGCTTTGCACAGTTCTCCGAATATTAACACGCTTCTATTATTGTACTTCATTGAAAATTAGAATACACAAAATAGGGAATATGAAAAATAGAGTGGAGAAATAACCAGAACCTGACGAGAAACAGTTTTCAATGGGCGCATGCGCACAAACATGTACACACATGCTCTAATAATGTGATGTAACATCTTTTGATGCTCGATGGGAAACCGACCGTGCCGCGAACCGAACAAGTGAGGTACAGTCGCGCCGTACACAAGTTACATCACGCTGTTGTGACTGTACGCAACAGAACTGGGCATGTAATGAAAGTTAACACCATAAACGCTCCCCATAAATCCTTGTTTATATTGTCTTAATGTACATCTAAACAATGAGCAGTGAAATTCATGTGTATAAAATAGGATGCAGTTTACGATTGGGTGTGTGACCGAATACGGTGGCTCATGCGATAAGGCTTGTGAATTACATTCGGAAAGTTTTCGGGTGGGATACCGACTATCCTAATTGAGTGTTTTCGTGGTTCTTCTGTCTATTGTCGAGATAAAGTTATTTTCACTTCTTCGTTAACTGTCCACCAATTTGGGTCCATATAATCTTGAGTTATTGCTAGAATTGTTAAAATTGACCGTTTACAAGTATATGTATGTTGTATGGTCTCAAGCCGTTTCCATGGAAACATGTAGTTTTCATATGTTTATACAGATGGCAGGTCTATGTTAGAAACTGTACCGCCTCAAGGGTAAAGGTGTAATATAACTGATCAACTGCTGCAAATTGACATGAGGAAAGGGAGGAGATCAGGTGCACAAGGGATAAAGGGAAAAATGTAGGTGAAAGTTAAAGATATGAAAGAAAGTATTCCCCGTTCAATTTCAGGGGGCAGAAACCTCCTGTTTACATGTAGAATTTGTGATATCTTTGTCGTGCAAGTGCCATATCCTTCATCATAGTATTTTCATTAAGAAAATGACGAATTCTGTTAATTCAATAAACAGTTCTGTTGACAAAGAATAAAATATGTAAATATTAGCTATATTCATTTGTCTGAAGAAGAACATGGTATAACAGTCTGCATTGTGAATTAAATGTAAAGAGGAGGGTCTCACATTATTTTCCAAAAATAATAACAAACTATCCGCTCTCTTTATATGTTTACGTAAATTTGTTCCAAAGATTTGAGGTTTTGACGGCGGTGACTATGAAGAAAACAGTCTTCTGGGATGTGCCGCCGTGTAGATATTGTGTTCGCTCGCAGATTTCGTCTTGTCTTCTACCCTGAAGATGGAGGCGATACGTTCCTCCGAAACGTCGGTTAACGCAATATCTACACGGCGCCACATCCCAGAAGACTGCTTTCTTCTTGTTCTGAAGACTTCCCCTAAACAGGTTAATGCACTCAGGGGAATATCTGAACCTGCTGGAAAAAAATACACAACAAAGAACTTCAGCTTCATAATCTGCACACTTCGTCACATATAATTAGAGTGCTGAAGGCACGGAGACAAGACGGGGAGGTCACATATTCATACATTTAGTTGGAAAGCCTGAAAGGAATAGACAAATTGGAAGACCTGGACATAGCTGGAAACATGCCAGTAATATTAAAACTGGTCTTATAGGAGTATGGTATGAGGGTGTGGATTGAATTCACCTGGATTATGGAGGTATCCAGTGCTAGGCTATTGTGAACACATTAATTAACTTTCGTGTTACAGCAAATTGCCCGAATCCCTTGACCAACTGATTGGTCATCAGTTTCTGAAGGCCACTTGTGTTTCACGGGGTTCATTAAGTTAGATTCAACAACTATCTCAGGACAGAAATGAATAGCGGGCTCTTGTGATGAAGGTGATGAACGTTCCATCTCCTTAATAGGAATGCCCTTGATCAATGAATAGCCATCAGATTCTTAATTAAAGCTTTTTACCATTTCTAATGAAACAGGAAGTGCTGCCCCAGGTTTTCTGAGTCGCTATGTTTCCTGGAGCTGATCAAGTAGCAATAAGCCCAGCTGCGTTTTCCTGCCCAAGTTTGGGGGCACGCGTGGCGTAGTTGGTTGACGCACTATGTTACAAGCCGGAAGGTCGCAGGTTCAAGTCCCGGTGAGGCCATTGATTTTTTTTCAATTGACCTAATCCTTCCAGCCGCACTATGGCCCTGGAGTCGACTCAGCCTCTAACAGAAATGAGTACCAGGAATATTCTTGGGGGTAAAGGATGGCCGGCGCGTAAGGCTGACAACCTTGCCGCCATATATGAGCCGACTGTCTAGAAAATGTGGGAACCTCAGCATCTCACAACCCTATGGGCCTCCACGGCCTGTTTTACACGGATAGCTTTACTTACTTACCGCCCAAGTTTCGCAACACTAGCTTGGAGATACTGAGTAAAACGAACATGCGTCACTTGTGAGTACTTGTTGCTTGTGTGTGCAGAGGGCAGCACGAGCGTACAGTTCAGCAAGAAGCCGACCCCAGTGCTGACGTCTCCCGGCAGCACCGCCTCATTCTGCGCGCGGGTCCACAGCGGCAGTGGCTGTAGTGCTCGGCCGCAGGTTTCCTGGACGGTGGCTGGCAGGCCCCTCGACTCTTCAAGGCACAAGGTAAGCTCCATGAACAATACGACGTATACCTGACACCTCAATTAACATGAATAATGAGTACGTTTCTGATTACTGCCATTGATTTACTGTTTGAAGCCAAGGAAACATACGTCATTGTTCTTTTTGTGAGCTTAGGGAAGCTTAGAATGTGAAAAGGGGGCGCGATGGTGCTAGTAGCGATTGTGATAGCAGTAGTAAGAGTAATAGTCATAATAATATAATTTATTTAAATGTTTCTCCACAGCTAAGTTGCCAGCTAATTACAGGCAGCGCCTAATGAACTACTACCTCTAATAATAATAATAATAATAATAATAATAAGCCGAAGGCGAAGTAGCCGGGTGGTCTCCGGGTGCAATACGGACTATTGTTCAAGAGTGTTCTGAGTTCGACTTCCGGTCAAATCTGCCTTCCGGTTTTTCAGCTCAGAGGTTTAAACCTTCAGCTCTGTCGGAGATAACACTTTGAAATGTGAAGAATACCAGCCCTCGACCATGTCAAGTTACAGGCCCCCTCTTCTGACCATTTTTCTCATGATGTCCCTATGACAGGATAACACAATCCGTTGTGTGGGTGCCTTCACCTGACTTTGCCACGGGAACACAGGCCAGAGGGATTGAACCAAGGTCCCTGCATGCACTACTTAATACTAAATAATAATAATAATAATAACAGTTAAATTTGCTGTTTAAGTCGCATGATTCCTTTCTGCGTGCAGAATTACTCCTTCATTAGAGAGAGATGTGTTCCGGGACTCACCCAACTTCCCATCCAGTGGGTACCGGGGGTAAAGCGGCGGGGGCGTGAAGCAGACTGCTAACCTCTAACTACTGCCGAGGTCAAGAATACGTGGATCTATACATCGATTCTCCCATACGCCTCCATGGCGTAGTGCTTAATTAGTTATGCACAGGTACAGCTTAACCTTAAGGGTGCACGCGGTAGCGTAGTTGGTTGAGGCACTGTGTTACAAGCCGGGAGGTCTCGGAATCAAATCCCGATGAGGTGGATTTTTCCAATTTACCTAAACCTTCCAACCGCACTATGGCCCTGGGGTCGACTCAGCCTCTAGCAGAAATGAGTACCAGGAGTCTTCCTGGGGGGTAGAGGGCGGCCGGCGTGTAAAGCTGACAACCTCACCGCCGTCTTTGAGCCGACTGTCTAGAGAAAATGTGGGAGCCTCGACGTCTCAGCCCTATGGGCTCTCAGGGTCTGTTACATGAATAGCGTTTACAGGGGAGAGATTACAGCCGTTTGGCTCCATTTCGAAGTCTCATAACAGGGTGGATCTGATAGTCTCTTTCAGACCATCAAGTTGCCTTGAGGAACAAGTCACCGAAATTCTCTTCCATCCGAAAGGAACACTTATTTACATTCAATGTAACATGACAGAAAATATTTCATCAACACACTGTTTTATTGTTGTGTTCTTGAACACAGACATGTAGCAACACATGGCACGAACAGATGTCGATCCAGTGACGTCACAGTATCGCTACAGTTCGGAGAAGAGCGTCACTAGGCCAGTATTGCTGCAGACCGTGTCTTCCTTCGTTTTGATGCTCAGAGGTGTTCAGTACGCAGTTTATTGTCGAAAACGAGCGAGAATTCCGTGATCTAACAAGTGAGAACTGTAATGAGAGAAGTAATTAGCGTTTATGTATAATAATACAAACATAGTATTCAAAATTTCCACGTTCGATCATGACTTCTGCCATTAATACAGTGGTGACATATTTGTGACCACTGTGGCAACCTGATGACGTAAGTAGTGCCAGATCCAAAAATGTTTTGTGGGCACATATGAAACACATAACTGGGGTGCAGTAGGTTTGTGGTATGGCATGCAGAATTAGTAAGCAGACTTTGCTTGGAGTTCTTAGATTAAACTTGAAGAATGCAGAGTGAATGCGTTAGAAGGCAGTTTTGAATTTGAGAGGCAGGAATTGGCAGGAAGGACTTACAGCGCGGAGTTTTATAATTTGTACTGGACACGCATTGAGGAGTGTTATCCTGAGAAGTGCCTACTTTCTATTCGGAAAATCTGGGAAGGTTATGGAATGACTCTTAGCAAAAGAAGGTATGAGCATGTGGACTGGAATCAGAGTAGGGTCCGGTGCCGGGTTCTTGGAAACACGGAAATTACCCTTCGGTTTTCATGGACAGGGCACCGAATTTACTGAGGTGAAAGGCTTAACGGTTTCTCACATACCCCGCTCCATAGATGTTACTTCGGTTTAAATGAAAATTTGCTTATATTCCGTGTTAAATGTTTCAACATAGAAACGTTTCAGAAATAGGGAATATTCAAACTGCAATATTTACACACGGACACAACCAGAGATACTGTGTATTTGTGATTCCTGTTTCTGTCGTTAGCATATTGTAATCGCTTTGAAGAAAATAACACTTGCCTATGACTTGAAACCACTTTACAGAAGTTTAATTTAGAATTTAATGTTATTAAGAATGTACATGGAATCCTTATGTTGGATTTCAGCCTCTCAGTGCGGTTTCTGCCTGCTTGTACTGTTTTCTTGTTTGTACCCTGAAGATGGAGACGATAAATTTCTCCGTAAGGTTGAGCTGTCTCCGAACTGCATGGTGTTACAACCCAGAAGACCGTAATCTTTATATTGATGAATGATTCGTCAAAACCTTTGGAGGGTTTATTGGTTTAAGTTATGTCTTGTTTTGTTGTGAATATGTCGTGACGTTGCAATATTGGGATCGTATGCACTCAGTTCGTCTGTAGAACTGTATCACAGATTTGGAATGCTAGCTCAGTTCCTCTTAAAATTTCGCAATGCGTTATATTCCGCTTAAGGAAAATTACGTAAAACGACAGCGCTGTGACGCATTTATCATTTAAATAGCTCCGTTTATAATCTTCAGATAAAGTTCAAACTATCTGAGAGTGCTTCCTTCACGTAAGTTCATACCAGGTCCACCCGAATTCTTCACATAAATTTCAAAGTGTCTTAGACTTCAAATAAAGTTTAAAGTACCCCCCACTAGAACATTCAGGTGAAGTTCAGACTAGCTCTGTCTGGAAGCTTTTGATAAAGTATCGAATCTTAAAATAAATTTTAACCAACCTCGTCTTGCCACCTTCAGAGAGCTCTTTATACAATTCTAGTCCCAATGTTCTTAAAATATAGTGTTTTAAATTAAAGTTATAGGTCGCGATTATATATTAGCATAATATATTCAAGTCTTACATCCAGTTTTTGTGTGAAGAAACTGTTTTGGAGATAAGTTGTGCAGTTGGATTGAAGCTTTGTTGAAATTGCGGTCCGTTAGACTGATACATATTTTTTTTAATTGCTAGTGGGGTGGGACTAAGTCCCTTGTACAGCGGCCACTTCTGGCCTATTGTACCAGCCCCAGATGATAAGTGAGGGTGATTGTGGAGCAGTTGGTGGAATGAAGATTGGCAGGGGAAACCGAAGCACTCGGAGAAAACCTGCTCCAGCACCGCTTTGTCCACCACAAATCCCCCTTGACCAGACCCGGGATCGAACCTGGGCCGCCGCGTTGGGAAGCCAGCAACTAACCGCTTGCGTTATGGCGCAACCATAGACTGAGACTTACTGAAGTAGCTCTCCCTCAGCAACTCTTCCCGTCACAGGTTTGCGGAACGTATGGATAAGTGGACAGATATGACCTCAATGCTACAGATGACCGTTCTTTATCAGAAACAGTCAGTACTGCCAGTATTTCGTCTTTCATAATTGATTAAACGTCCTGAATGCTGGACTGCGCTAACACAGGGTAACAAACGTGTCTTTGGATTAGACATCCTGTCTTTTTGCTTCCGTTGTGGTCAAGAACGCCAAATACACCGCCTTCATGGCGAATTACGGAACAACCAAGGAGTCGATCCTTGCAGCGTAGCATACACGGTGCAGGGAATTTAATTGACTGTACTTTATTTTTCTCACATTTGTCCAGAATCAGTGTTTACTTTTGTATAGAAAATCTGTGGCCTTCGAGAAAATTTTAGACACTATAAATGCTGGACTGAAGCCACCACAGGCTTATAAGCATTGCCCACTCCTACCATCCCATCTTCGTGGCACATTACGGACATCCTAATAGATGGTGCTTGTGACGTGGCGCACATGGTACTGGGACTGACGACTGTATTTATCTCCTTTAGTAATTTTACCTGTTTGTTTTAAAGAGCTTACTGTTTTAAAGAGCTTACTGGACCATTTGCAGCCTGCCTTATGCCAACATTGAGCTTAACATTTATGGTTCCTTATTTTTAATTGAAAACTATAGAATGAGGAACTTCATAACCTGTACTCTTCTTCAAGTATAATTAGAATGATCAAGTGAAGGAGGACGAGGTGGACAGGGCATGTAGCACGAATGGGGGAGATGAGGAATGCATATAGGATATTGGTGGGAAAGCCAGAAGGAAAGAGACCACAGGGAAGACCAAGGCGTAGGTGGGTGGACAATATTAAAATGGATCTTAGAGAAATAGGATGGTATGGATTTGATTGATCTGGCTCAGGATAGGGACCAGTGGAGGGCTCTTGTGAACACGGTAATGAACCTTCGAGTTCCATAAAATGCTGGGAAATTCTTGAGTAGCTGCAGAATTGGCGGCTCCTCCAGAAGGGCTCAGCTCCATGAGTAAGTAAGTAAGTAAGTAATTTTTTAATTACATCCATGTTTAAACTGCAGTCTGAGAACTGTATAATTGGCTCCTTTGTTACTGGATCAAATAATGAATGTTTTAATTTAGTCTTTATCCAGACGAAAATAGCCATAGCTGCTGAGCCACCTAGAACCCCCCCCCTCCCCGCACAAAAATGACATTGGAAGGTAGGATATAAATAAGATGTTTGAGAATAACAGTGGAAATGCAGGAGGTGGGAAAAATTATGGAAGCACTAAGTAACTGAGGAATATAATTTGTTTGTGTTTGCTACAATCAGAGGACTTCAGTTCATAACACTGAATGTTCTTCCATTCATTTACATTTT